AACCATCATACCACACAATAGCCCCAATCATAACAGCATCATTCCAGAGTCTGAAGAAAGAAAGATCTTTGTCCAAAGGGGCTTTTGTAGGCAGAGCTGCTACTTTGAGCTCAAGCTGGTGTTCAGTCTGGTGCTGAGTGCTGCATTAGTGCCAGGAACAGACACTTTGCTTTTATCTGATTATAAAACCCAATGGAGATCATTGGACATATTTTTTGCTTTAATAGAACACTTATGAAAACAATATGCATTGTACCTGTGTGTGTTTGAGTTTGTAATTGTATTCCAATGTTTTCCACTCCACTTCTCCACCGGTCCACTTTCCACTGCCATCCACTGCTCCACTGCGTCCACTTCCCTCCAGCCTCCACTGCCACTCCTTTCCATCCACTCCACCCTCTTCCACTCTCCACCCAGAAAACTCAAAAACAGGCAAAAAAGAGACCTCATGTCCGAAAGGTTAGTTGTTGAACAGTTTTTTGTTTTATATGGGTACAGTGCTCATTATTATCTTTATCTATTTTTGTAGAATGTAAAAGACACAAATATCAAAAGGTGTTTCGCTATGAAAAAGTAGTGGACAAAAGAGTTTCAAATGTAAGTATATGACAGTTTTGCAGACCAGTTGAGCAGTATGTTGAAGGTTTCTCTGCAGTGCCTTTACATATATTTTATTACACTGTAAAACATTCAAAATCTTACTGAGTCTTACTTTGCCTGGAGGAGAATCTCCTGCTTTTTTTCCATGGAAATGTTGTTTCTTTGACTGTAATATTATTAACTTTCTATTTCCATGGATTCCAGAAAATTACGTGTTGTTGCTTTAAATAACTCTAGACTTAGCTAAGACATCTGTCTGCCTCCCCTCACAACTGAGAGGCTGCACTATATCACACTCTTTCAACTTTTATATCATCCCCATTTATATCAGGATATATCTCCAGTAACATTATAAGGCCAGGTTTATGATGTGTATTATGAAGCAAGATTATGCTATTTTTCTTCATGGTTTAAAATGCATTCAGTATTATTATAATGCAATTTTTTTAGGGAAAAGCAGAAGTCAAAATCCGATGGTCACCATGTCCTGAGTGGTAAGTGATGTGCTATCAAATAATTGTAACTTAATTAGAACTTAGTTAAAAAAAATTTTTTTAAAAAAGCTGATTTTTTTTTTTTTTTTTTGTCTTATACTGTTTGCAGTGGTAAGGTGTGGGATGACACCTGGGAACCAGCAGCACAGTATTTGTTGTAATTGTAAAATAGTAGTAGTAGTAGTAGTAGTAGTCGTCGTGGTTGTTGTCATCATTCTAGTAGTAGTTGCAGTTCGTTTAACAATTAAAAAAAACATTTTCTCTGTATTGTTGTTGTTGTTTTTTTGCGGATATACAGTCAAATCAGTCATGCTTACCATATACAGTTTTAGACCTGTTTTATTCTTTGTAGTCTGACATTTTTTCAAAATCCTTGTTTAGGTTTAGAGAAGTTATAGATATTCCACTCCAGCGTATAACTGCTCACACCCCTCAGACAAAAGATTGAAGAGGCTCCCATCCTAGACAACAACACTGCAGTTAAGCAAGAACATTTCATATAGTACCTATATTTCAAGTTATCAAATCTTAACTTGACTACAACCTATTGCTGTTCTGTAGAAGACCGTTACTGATCAACAGTATTTAATGGAGGTGGCAGGGGCAGTAATTGTTAGTGTGTTAACATTAGTGGGCATAGAGCAAGTCTGTATGTTATATTTTGCGAGTCAGATTTTCACCTCTCAGGGGCAGTGAACTACTATGGTCCTGTCAACAGGCTAATCCTCTGAATAAGGTAAAACTTACACAGATGTTTTGCGTATTTGCTTTACTCTAAGAGCTATTTTTAAAAAATGCTTTTCACAGGTCCAAAAAAAAATGAATCCACTGATGAAACTCTGATGATCCTTCATTCAGAGAACCCACCAGGAGACCCTGATGTTATAGCCTCTTCTGTACACTGTGTCTGGCTTGTGGTGTCCTCTCGACATGATGATAAAGAAAGAGAAGTTGACAGACCTGTGCTAAATGTAAGTATGTTGCTTTAGAAATTACACTTTTATTAATTATGTTTTGCAGCAACAGCATGAATGTACTTAGTAATACTACAGTCAGATTTTAACGTAACATTTCTCACCAAAAATAAGCACACTTCCCTATGCAATGCCAGTAATACAGTATGTCTATTCCCAATCATTGTCAAGTATGACGATGACAGACAAATCTAGACAAAGTAATGAATTTGGCTTGGCCATTACATTAATCTTACCGTAACCAGTCATCAGCTTTAAAATATGTTGTTTGAGTCTTCATCTGTACTCAAGATGGAATGATGGCAAGTTAAGCCGCTGTAACATCCCTTGGTACAACAATCTGAAGTTGCCTGCTCAAGGCTGTCATTTGCTTGTGAGATATCAAGGCATATTTGTGTTCCTTGCTGTTTTATTTCATTACACACCCATGTATCCATATTTTTAGCCTTTTTCTGAACTATTGAAATGGTTGACCACTGCCAGTGACGTGCAATACAACATGTTTTAGCATAACTGTTTCACTATGGTCAGATTAAACCCAGGGATCACTTATTTCTAAACAGAGCACTCAGGATGAATGCAAGAGCATAGTATCTGCTTGATGTCAGGCATAAATGGGCAGCAGGTATCTTGACCTTTTTAAAAAATGTATGTTTGCTATCTGTATTATATTTATATTTGTCCAGATGCGACTGTCTAATTGTATTTATTTATTTTGACATACAGACAAAGAACAGACAAACCAGGGTCAGTAAGCAAAAAGAATGAATGAACTCCGTGGTAGACTGCTGTATATTTGGTGATGCTTTCTTGGGAAGCACAATGAGAAGGTAAGCAGTGTGTGTACTCAGAGATAGAACAGCTATGGAATATAATGATAATTTGTGCATCTCTTTTCATAAACATGGCCTGCTTAAAAGACACCGGAGGTGAGGTCAGACTGTCAGACCCTTATTTGTCCAACAATGGGTAAATCACAGTGCTGCAAGCAAGATAAGCATGGGAATGAGAAGCATCATGTAATTACAATCAATATAAATGACTATTAAAATAGACAAATGTAGGTCAACCCTCAGTCTAAGTTATTGTGACTTTTTTTCAATGGTGCTGCAACATAGCAGAGAAAATATTTGTCATTAACAGTGTGAATATTTATTTATAACAACCAACTGTATTCTCTTTTTAGTAATGCGCCACCCAAGATGTTCTATCCAAATGTAGGACAGAGGAGATCAGATTTCAGCAATTTGCCAACCTTGAGTTCTTTAAGAAATCCCAAGTGCTCAACAGAGGCAATGTCTCAAGTGACTGCTCTCTGTGGTGCTGTGCACCGTTACATGTACATGTGAACCGAAGTTCCTCTATTTATTTTCTGCCTTTATTCTATGGTGTCACATGTCAGCAGCTATCTTGTGACTGAAGAAACATCTTCAGATTTTGAGAGGGATTTTCAAGGCGGAAAGATTCATCAAATGATTCAGCAAGACATCTTCATCCACACCAAAGGTGAAGAGGACGCATTGCATTATAATGCTTGCATAATTTACATTTATGACATTGCTCCTGTCTCTGTTTGTCATTGCAGTTTGAGGCTGTATTCGGCAATGAAGGCTTCAACTGATGTGAATGTGCTACCTGCTCCCGTCTAAACAGGTGATCAGTGTGGTACAGTGTACCAGCTAATGTTTTGTTTGTTACGAAGAACATTAAACATCCTTAATCAAATATTGCTCTTGCTATTTTTTTGTGTGAAAAAAAATATATAATTATAATAATTTATATGTATTAATTAAGTAATAAAAACATTTATTCCCAAAAACAAACATTTAATCAGCGGCCAAATCTGCACTGTACATAGCAATAACAAAATAATAAATAGCATTGAGATTAATAAATTAATAAATTTCACTACCTAATATATAATTTAGTTCAGTTTAGGCATATTAACTGTATACCGAAAAACTGAAAATTTTGACCATTGGCATTGGCCCAGTATGTTACTACTTTCATGTTTGCATACATTTTTCACTGTACTAACACAATGCTCTGTCTTTTTCCCTTAACAGACTACGCTGAGGACTTCTGGTTATTCCCCCCCACCAAAAGAAAGTGTGGCAGGTGTTTGCTAAGAGGTTATTTAAAATATATTGCAATCTATGATGTGATTGCATTTTTTATTTTATAGAGCAACCAGTCAGGGCAAAAAAAATGAATGGGTTTTCTGTTCAGAGACAACACCCTTGGGATCACTGTGGCAAGAACTGTATAAGTGCAATAAAGGATCATCTCTGAAGAAATTATATCTGAAAAGGTGAAGGAGTGAACAGGAAAAATAAAGAGGCTGTCTGACTAATCACCAGGCCCACGTCTACAGGGGTACAAAAGGATGCTGAGCAATCTCATTTAAAAGTGTTTGTATGTAAAATAATGACAGATAAAATGGAAGAGTATTGTTTGCACCCCTTTGAAACTCGGATGCACCCTGAGTCAGTTAGGTCCCACACCTGAACCAAACACCACATCACACAGGTTCTACAACAACCCCACGGGCTCTCCATCTGACTGAAACCTCCTCATTCACACAGTTTAGACAAAGCACCTTCGCCATTGCTCCTCCTACTCTCTCCCCCTCCATTTTAGAAATTTGGACACACTTATCACCTTTAAAAGACTGCCCCCACCTCCTCGACACTGCCTTTGATGCACACTTCTCTTTGAAAGGAATATTCTGACTTTGTTTAAAGTTGTCAACTAGTAAACAAATAATTGGAGGCAACAATAGTAGCCTACATCAGATGCTATGAAGTAGTAATAGCTTATAGGGCTACAACTGCTATTTAGCCAGTGGCATTTAAATTGTGTAGGCGTATGTACAAACTGTTTACATTAGTGATTACATGTGATTCATTGTTGAGTTCTTTTTGTGGTTAAGCAAAACAACAAGCTTGGCTAATAAAGTTACTTTTAATGGATTGAATTATTGTTTCCATTATTTAATGCACCATAATCATTTTCTTCTCAGTGGAGCAAAATACACTATGCAAAATAGACTACGTTTTACAGATGCTTTCAACATCATCTTGCAGAAAAAAAAAAAGTTTATCTACATATTTTGGTGAATATTTCTTTTAAATACATTATTATAGCATTCATAAATCCTCTGTCTCTTATTAGGGCTCATGTCACAGCAGCATCTGTCTAAATATGGGCTCATAGGCCTTTTTTCTGATGTGTGGGACACAGGTGACAGTATGATCTTACACAGACCCCTCCTCCTGATGTGACATAGACATGCCCAGAGGCTCTCACACATGTTCCTTAGGCTTAGATGCACCTGTGCAGCTCTGTTTTATCTTCTACAGTGTGACTAAGGGAGCACCTTGGTCACCCTATATATATAACATTGCACTTCTGATTCCTTTTCCTTTTACAATATGTGGAAGATGGACTTATCACATGATCTTGGAAGTTCATGATATACCAATATACCTAAAGAACTACAATTTGACTAAACTTACAAAAAAAAAAAAAATTAATAATAAAAAATAAATAAATAAATCTATGAAAGGAATAGATCATACACTGAGTGGACATGTCCAGTGGAAATAGAGAAGTTCTTGTGTTCATTTCCTCTTAACTAAGTGCATTACTCAATGAGAAGGCCATTGAACAAATACATTAACGACCGGACATACAGTCATAATGTAAATGTGTTTGAGCATGAATGATAATTGCAAAAGGTGCGTATAATTCTGTTGTTTCTGTTTTCAGACTTGTGTTAAACAGGTTCAGGCAGTGCCATGTCTCCAGTAAGAATTTAACCCTATGTAAGTATTATGGATGATGGAAGCCATGATACCCAAGAAATAACTTTTTTATCTTTCTTTTAATGTGAGGAAGAATTGTTGTTGAATATTCTTCCCTGTGCTGATCATGATGATGGTTTTTATACACATGCTCCAGCCCATGCACATCAAGCTGGATCTGGTCTCTGCATGTGTCCTACTAGTTCATTTATAGATTCCTCTTTTCAGTACAGTGTTCAAGAGTACCCGGTATATCATGGCTGCTGGATCTTTTTTCCATGTCGGCCTATTGTAAACAGAACAAAACCAAAATGAAACATACTTGCATTCATTGTAAATTTTACCATTTACAATGAAACATTGTATCACATTGTGTTGGCTAACCCCTCTCACTCAAAGGATTTATGGGTGCACTGCACTACTATGGAACATTTCTGCTATAGGCAACACCACCTGCTTGTTTCCATGGACATATTATTGTTTTGTCTGGATTATGGGCTAGGCACTAATGTGTACACCACTATAATAATAATAACAAATCAATATTGTGCTTATATGCATTTTGTACTCTCCTTCACATGGAAATAATACATTTATAGTTTATAAGTAGCATGCCTGCATGAATGCTTGGTGGAATCTGTGTGCTTTTTATATATTCTCTGTCTCTTACTGGTGCTTAGGACAGACGGCTCATATATACCCTTCCTTCTTGCTATGGTCTTTGCTTTTCCTCATTCTGAATACCATGGATATATAATGTAGGCACTTTCACTGTTGTCCTAATGCTGACATATACATAGACAAAAAATATACACATAACATATATGTTGATTAATGTTATCATTATTGTAGGAATATATTGTAACATGACAATATCAAATGTAACATTTTCAAAAATCTACTATAGGAATGAATACAAAGGATCAATTCATATTTTTCAGTTAGCTGAGTGTTTTATTGGAGAAGAAAGTAACACAGCAAAATAATTTTGCTGACAAAGATGTACAATATTGATTTTATTTTCAGTCTGTGGGCTGTCAATGTATAGTTATTCAACATAAAAGGTGTGAATACAACACAATACTAATGTTTCTGCTGCTCTAAAACAGTGGCTGTCACTTTACACACCCAGACATTCACTAGCTAGGACCACGCCAAGAACATAGTGCGAAGAAGTTTATTGATAATGTACAAAGCAGGGCAGAGATGGCTGGGTTGAGACTCTAGGTGGGGGCTCCGTCTCAATCTACAATTGGCCCAGTCGGAACGGGACCCTCCCCGTAGGGGTATCATGACTGAAAGACAAAATAGGGGATGGGAGGGTGGGGTCGAGTTAGCCCAGACAAACTGGGATGATGGGAAAGGCTGCTACATAAAGGCTTCTGGGAAATTAGAGGCGTAGTCGAGATGAGTTGTGGTTCGCTGGTGAGAGGAGAGGGCGGCTGAGGCGTGGTCCTGCTCCTGAATCTCAGTTAATCATAGTAACTACATGTATCAGCCCTAAACCACAGATGAGGTGATTAACCAAAATAAGGACAAAAACATGAAAACTGTAGAAACCCCATACACATACTAAAGTTATAAAATCATGTAACATAAAACATAGGCCAGAAAACAGCGTAAATATGGGCCCTTTTAACTCACAGTTGATTCCTAAATCCAAAACTAACTCACTCTAAGCCTTCTCCTTTCTGATCTGATCCATATAAATCCTTATAATACAAATAGAAAAATTAGTCAACTAGTACAAACTTTGGTGGACTGAGGACACCCTCGACCGATAAATGAATTAAACAATTTAAGGTCTATAGAACTACATTTTAGTACATGTCGTCCAAATCACTGTCCAAGTCACTGTCTGGAAAATCAGAAGTCATCTGTAGGAAGTCACACTCTGCTCCAGTAAAAATGCTCAAGTAGCAGTGCCTCACATCCTGTATTTTTTGCCGAATGTTCCACAACTTTTTTTTTAATAGGGCCTGCATGCCATTCAGGGCCTCATCAGTGAGTACATCCTGAGTATCTAAAAGTAAAAGAAATTTAAAAACAGTTACTAATAATTAATCATTATATTTTTTCATAAAACTACATACTCTGGAGGGGAAGTTTAGAGACCCGGTCAGAATGCTCTTTCAGCCAACCAAAACGAGCTAGGAGATAATTCCAGTGCTTAGCCATCTCAGCAACAAGAATCTTCTTCTCTTCTTGCAGTCTTCTCACTCCCATGACTTGGTCAAAGACTTGTCTCTTTGTCCTAATGGTAACATGATCTGAATAGCATAAAGGTAATCATCATTACTGATTAAAATGCATAAAGTATGTGATAAAATCAAGTAAAATGTAGAAGCAGCACTTCCTCCAAATTGAAAGCTAAATACTTTTTTCATGATGGTTAATTGTAAAATTATAAATCAATTAATAGTTAATAACAAGTGCTTACTATACACATCCAATCGTGTGTGGGTGTGAATATGTATGAATGGATGTGTGTGTGTCTAAATTTGTATCTAAATAGAAAGAATATTATTATGTCTCCAGGCTAACTGAAGTAAATGTATTATTATGGGAAAAACTATGGAAACAAGTGACTAAATTGTGAACAATGTACCATTTTGGTTGTCCTGCCATGGCCATGCGACATCTTCTCTGAGGATTGTGTCAATGCACAGAGCCTCTGCGCTTGAGCTCAGGGTGTTATACTCTTCAATCAAAGTACATAACATCCGCTTCTCCTCTCTGAGTTTGCGTCGGACCCTGGCTCGAGCTTTGCAGCCGTCTGTGTCTTTGTACAAATGCTGCGTGCGTCTCTTGATGCTTGCTACCAGTCCCTCAATTTTACTTTCCAAGGCATCTTCATCTGTTGGAGTGGTTGCTGCTATAGAGAAAAAAATTCCATAGTAACATGAATATACATCATAATCTCAATTTAGACAGAACATGTATTATTTTATATGTATGACAGTTCTCACATTCAGCCCACTCCTTCACATCAGCTACCCAGTCCTTTAACTGGACCTCAGTGAGCAAAAGTTCATTTTTTGTGGATTCCAGCATTTTTTCTTTTTCATCCAACATCTTTATGGTCTGTAAGTAAAAATGCAATCAATCAAAAATTGATATGTTCTTGATATGGTATGTCATTAACACACTATATATAATAGTTATTACTTTCAGATATCTGCGGGACAAGGATCCAGCCAAGTTTTCAAACTTGTGATCATTCCACCGTATGGCCATAAGGGTTAACATGTCAGAACGCCCTATAACAGAAAGGAAGCTCGTCACTCATTGGGAGTTTTATATACACTGTTAATGAATCACTCTTAAAGTATGTGTTATGTCACCTGCTTTTGACATATGCTTTGTTGTCACAGCAATGCGAGAGAGGAAGGCATTAACTTGTTCTACCTCCTCTCCAAGGGTTAAGCCAGCCCCCTCCTGATATGCTCCACTCCATTTAACCTGTTTGAAAACAAGAAGGTTACAGGAGGGATTAACAAGGATTCATTCTGTAACTTCACTTACTTCACATTTGAAGTCATGAGCTTTTGCATGGAACACGGAAAGAAAAGGTTTCATGCTGAGCAGTGCCTGGAGCTCTGGACAATGCTTTGAGACCTTTTTTAGGTATGGCCAATATTTGCAGGTAACATCCATGCAAAAAAAGGTGCTGTTTGTGACCTTTTGTTGGAGGTACAAAGGATAAGCAAAAATTTCCCCCCTGTACATGTTAAGTGCACAGAGAAGAACTCCATGCCGGCACACTGCTAGCTCAAGTCCCTCTTCATCCAGCTTGCTGGCAGATTTGCGGGAGGTTTCTCTGGCTGCCGACCACTCGCCACCACAAATACCTCTTCCAGACACCTAGTAAAAATGAGAAATGCAAATTATTTTGATATTTGAAGATTTTTTTAAATTATAGATTAAAATTAGCAACAATACATGTTTGGCCTTGCTGTGAACATAGCAACATCATTATCATTTGCAAGGAAAACTCCATCAAATATTGCTGGTTCTTCAGATCTAAAAAGAATATAGGAACAGTAATAAATTAGCTGAAAAACATTTTTGAATTCATATAAGAAGAATTGTGATATTTTATCTGTATGTACAGTTTACAATTATTTATTATTACCTTGATGCACTCTTAAAGCGGTAATGCTTACGGTTTCCATCAACAGAAACAGCAAGCATATCTGGACTACAGGCCGGACAAGTAAAGGGCTCCTCTTTACAGCACCTATCCAGCCCATACTTAACAGCCTCCCACTCAAAAAAAACTTCTCAGGAAGGTGTCAGCAGAGATCTTCCCCATCTAATGAAAAAAGACACACACACACACATAAACACACACATACTGTGTATAGAGAGAGAGAGATAGAGAGAGAGAGAGAGAGAGAGAGAGAGAGATTAAACAATAAATTACGTACACGGCCAAAACGGACAGTTCTAAGATCAAGCATTCTTAAGAATGCCTGACAAGACAAGCCAGGTGCTGCCATTTTCATGTCTTCATAAGTTGCAAACACATCAGTGGCAAAGAGAGTGGCAAAGTTGAGTGTTGCTGGCCAGAAGTCACTGGCCAGAATTGTATCAATTCCTGCAAACCATGTAGTGCAGCAACTGTCACACACGAGCTCTGGAATACTCAAATCATGTCGTCCTTAAAAAATAAAACATGTTTTTTTATATATACAAATATTTTTCAAGTTACTACTTGTGTTATAATTTGTATTAGTTTTACATCCTATCCTATAAGTCCCAACAATCTTTCTGTTCAGTAGCATTATTTTGTAGGATACAAAATTAAGTTATAAAAACATGAAGCTTCAAGAAGCTTTGCGCTAGAGTGAACCAATTGAATGAAAGGCTTCAATGCGTCATGAAGCTTCATTTGCCCATCACTAGTTTGAACGTCCCAATCACTTTCAGCGAGAGTCATCCTAGATGAATAACATGCAGAACTCAGTTCTTCTCTCTGAACATGTCAGTTTGGCATAAACCCCCTCCCTGTGGTTTATTTCAGAAAGAATTTGTGCAGTTTATTTCTTCTCCTATGGCTCCATTTGAGGTGGCACTTCCTGTTTGCTGTGCTCTGATTGGTTGAGGGGAAGGTTCTTTCAGGAAACACTTCCTTTAACTTCAGCAGGAAAAATGCCTTAAGCTTCAGCCCCGCCTCTGCCACCTCTGAGTCAGGCTACAAGAGAAAAAATACAACATGAAACACACAGAACACACATGCAACATACATGAGACAGACCAATGAGCCACCTCAGCTATAACAGAGAACATACAGAACACAACAGTATGAGACAAATCATGGCTGGAACATAACTCAGAGCACAGTGCAGTCTGAGTCCAGTCTGCATCCTGTCTGAGTCTTGCTGAGTGTGGTCCTGGTCTGGAACCTGAGGAGGAGTCTCAGAGCTCATTGGACTTCTGTGTAGGTAGCTGTAGCTGTCGGTCTAGGGGTCAGACGATTCTATGTTATGATTTGATTCTTATCTCGATATATGGGTCATGATTAAATTTTATATCAGTTTTTGTGTAGTCTCAGAAGACTGAACACTTTAAAAACTGAAAAATATGCTAAATAATGCAAAGAATGCTCATTCTCCACAGGCTCCTACAGCTCTGTGCAAACAGTGAGAGATACAGGACTACAGTCATACCATACTCCATTCAACTGTACAACAACTCACTCATATATGACCCATATCATGTAATAGATAACCCTAATGTCCTGTCAATCATCATATCATCTTTGCACTGTTTCTCCTGATGACCTCTTGTATATAGCTGAGATTGTATTACTATATTTCTCTATGTTATTTATATGTACATTTATATTATTATGACTTATTTGACACCAGTCCTTGCTATTTTTGCTACTTATTTTGAATTTATTGTTACCATTTATATTTTTTCTTTTCATTATTATATTATATTTTAATGTGTGAGCAACTGTGTCCAAATAATTTCCCTTGTGGATCAATGAAGTTAAGTCTAAGCCTAAGCAGGTGTTACATGTGAAGAGGAACAGTCTTTTGAGCATGTTACAGGAATGCATGGTAACAGAGGACACTTTAAGTCCATCTCGTTTTTCCCTCAAGCACCACCTAACACATTTTCAACCTCATGGTTTGTGGCACAGTGTCACATGCTTCTACAGTTCAATTTTAATTAAAATATGGAAATAAAAACACATTTGTCTCTCACATAGTTGAAGGTGGCACAGTTGTGGAACATGAGCAGAACATCGTCCACAAACTGCTCTGGACTCAGGTACCTCAGACCAGCGGGGGGCGGAGCAAGGGGTGGTGTCTGAACAACGGGGGGTGATGGAGAGGGAGGGATCTGAGAAGCAGGGAGAGGAGTGGGTGTGGCAGAGGGTAGGGTCTGGAGAGGGGGAGGGGGTGTGGCCTGAATCAGGGGAGCCGCAGGAGGCGTGGTCTGGTGAGGGGGAGTGGTCTGCAGCTTCCTCCGGATCAGGCTGAGGTCGACTGGACGCCGCACAATCTGGTAATAATGACGGAACTGAAAACACAAACAAACATCAGGGAGTGTTTCACATAAATTTTATTGAAGCATAAAGATGACCCCGTTCTATAGATAGCTGCACATCACACTAGCCAGCAGAGGATATTTTTTCATTTGTACTAAAATGACTATGTGACGCAGTCAAATCCTGCATGTATCATCAATTCAAAAAATTTATCTGGAGAAGGAAGTGAGCACATCACAGTGGGCATGTGGGCACCAGTGATAGTATAAACTGGGGTACATGGAGAAATTACTTCTTGAATATGGGAGAATAAAGATTACTCAAACACACATGAATGAAAGAAAACAACTATAAAATGGTTAAAAGCTCTGAAAAGTCTATTGTGCAAAAGAGGTCTGATTTAAGATTATGGTGAAACTAATTATTTTTATTTGATTTATTTAATCTCATTAGGGTTGTAGAGTAAAAATTTCACTTTCTGCCTATTTTTCATCTTTATTTCTCAGTTATTTTTGTAATGCCGGTGAAAATAAAGATTATAGTGCACTTCAGTAGTAGTAGTAGTAGTAAAATAAAGACTTTGATCACATCTCAATGGTAGTAGTAACAATATTAGTAATATATTAGCAGTAGTATCAGCAGTAATATTATCGGTAATACTGTTGTACAATAGTAGTAGTACTGTAGTACCTGAGGACTGACGGGTCGGTGAAATGGTGAGCTGAGTGTGTGAGTGAGCAGCAGCAAAGTCAGTTTCTCACATCTCTGAAACAAACACACACAAATTGACTTGTGAACTCTATTTAACCTGGTTTACCTGACAGAGACATTTTAACTGTTTCTAGAGTAAAACAATGCAAATAAAGTCATGCGAAAGACTACCATGACTGGCGCTAACTTAGCAAATGACACTCACACAGCTCTGACCTCTGACCTCACACAGCTCCACACTGTAAAAACACACTGAACCTTTGACACGTGTTAAACTATGAGAACCACGGTTTGGGTTGGGGATTAACCATTCAACATCATAGTCAAATAAAGCACCTACCCTCTGGTCCTGAGAGGAGAGAACGTACGGGACTAGAGCCCTACTCAACCTCTCTGAGTGGTGCTGGTCCAAGTTCTGACTCTGGTCCTGGTCCAAATCCCGGTCTGGTCTGCACAGGGAGCACACCCAGTCTCCTCTACAAACACAGACACACTGAAAGGGTATCTGACACAATCTGACACACTAGGATACTGAAGGATGGGAGGACATCTGACACATAGGAGGATGTGAGGGCATCCAGTGTACTCACTCTGGGACACTAAGCAAGGGGGGCACGTGGCAGGTAAGGTGATAAACTTTGGTACAGTGGTCACAGCAGAGCAGCTCTCCTCCATTTGAACACACAGCACAGAAATCCTCCCAGTCCGCCGCAAAAACATCTTCACTCTCCTTATCCCCACTTCTATCCCTATGGTCCCCCCTAAAACCATTTTCACAGCCATCATCTTTCCAGTCCTCCTTAAGACCGGGTCTACATTCCTTATCTTTACCTCTAAGCCTCTGGTCCAAAGAGTCCTCCTCACTGTATTCCACTTTAAAAATGTCTCCATTGTCTTCATCTCCACTCCAATCCATCTTAAAACCATTTTTACAGCTCCTATCCTCACACCAGTCCACCTTAAAATCTTGGTCCATTTTAAAATCTTCTGCTGATTCAATGATGGCTTCAGTATTGCTCCGTTCCCCCTTAAAAACCTCATCAGTGGCTTTACATTCTGTCCATTCCACCTTAAATCGCTCATAATCTCCTAATTCTTCAGATTTGCATTTTAATGTAGTGAAATTTTTTGGTTGGTGTGATTTGTTATTTGATGACATGTTTTCATTCCTAAAATCTCCAAAACCAAAACCAGCCATCATATCTGAACTTTCTGTACAAAAATCTGAAACTTCACTTTTAACTTTGGCAAAATTTTCAACAACTTCTGAACAGTTTTTGCTTGTTTCAATGGTGTTTGAGTCTAAAAAAAGATCTTCCTCGAGACCTTGATTTAGTCCTGGATCTAATCCTGAGTCTACTCCTGGGTCTAGTCCTGGGTCTAGTCCTGGTTCTGAAAGTCCTCTTGGGTCCATTTGAATGATAAATTCCTGTTCTAGTCCTGGATCTAAAGTTCCACTTGGGTCCATGTGAATGATCAAGTCTGGTTGTATCCCCAGTCTTGGTTCTGGAAGTTTGGTATGGTCCAATTCCATGAAAACTTCAGGTCTTGAGTCTAGTCCAAAATGAGGTTCAAGTCTAAATCGTGG